GCGTGCAATATGGGTTGGGATAAGAAATTGTTTGACTTCTTCTGGAGGATACTGTGGGGTGTTTGTGTGCGTGTGCGAGGGATCTGTGTGGTTTTGATTTCCCTATTTTTATTTACCTGCTTTGGCATTGTGTAATGATGCTTCCCTTCTCCATTATGTGTGTTCTGAAGTGTTGCTGGGGCACCGGGAGTGGATGCCTGTGGACGCACGCCGTGCATTATGCGCTACATTGGTGGGAGGGGAGACTGACATAACTGGCGGGATTCAGTAAGGCGCTTTTTGCCCACGGACCCTGCAGCCGCAGCAGCCTGAGTGGCGCTTTGCATATGGACGTGTGGATTGTTTCTCTCTTGCGGGACCTTTCTTACTGCGTGTCATTCTCCGCTCGGGTACCGTGCCCGTGGCAGCAGCGGCGGCATCAAAAGGGCTGCGTGCGTGGAGAGTCCTTGATTGAGTGCCTGTCTTACTTCTCTGTTCTGTCGATTGATTGTACCGTGTGCCGGCCAAACGGTTGGCATGACGTTCTTCTGACGGCGGGGTCCGCGTGACATGATGTTGCGTCGCGTGCTTTGTTGCGGGTGTGTGATTTCAGCAACGGTTTTTGGGCGGTTGACTGTTGGGTCGTTGAGGGCGGCGTGGCGACGGGTGCGGATGGACCCGATTGTGTGCCGTGGCTGTTCGTGCGGGGGAGCCGCGGGAAGGAGGAGGGCAGCGGAGCGATGGACTCACGAGGAGTGCGGTAGCGTGCAGCCATGAAGATTGGCGACAGGGAACTCACTGCCGCTGTGTGTTGCCGTGTGTGGTGTTTGTTTCTGTTATTATTGCTTGCGTTGTTGGATGTGTGGCCGCTGTGGGGGAAGACTGTTTTTTGTTTCTTTTTCCCGCCGTTTTGGGATCCTTTTCTGCACCGGCATCACTGTGTTCTTGCCGTACTGTTGTGCCCTCTTTCCCTTCCATTTTGGGGACAACTGCGGGTGGGTTTTACATGCCGTGGAGTTGTGTGCCGTGCTGTCGGGTGTTTCATTGTTGCCTGTTCTTCCTGCGTGCACGCGTCCCCCATGCTCATGACAACAACCCTCATGCAAACGCCACTCCTCCTTTTCCATGCTGCTGATGTGTGTGTTCTTCTCATCCTCCTCTCTTTGTCCCTCCCTAGACTGTGTGTGCAGCCGTGATGATGATGATGACTGGCCGTGTGCTGCTGGTGTGTGCCCTCTGCGTGGCTGTGGTGCGG